AGCAAGCTGGGTTTTGCATTGCAGGAGCTTGGAGGCAACTGCAAACACACTGTGAACATTTCTGTACGTCACTCGAGCAAAATGAAGAAATGAGCAGGATATTTCTTTGGACTGCTTCATTTCTCCCTTATCCAAAATGAGGAAATGAGCAGGATATATTTTTAAATTTTTCTGAAGTCTGACATGGCAGAAGTAGGGAAATATATTTTCTTAAAAACCACATGATAAAACAGTTCATATGAATTTCTTTAAAGCCCAAATCGTTTGAATGAGCGATCTCTTGATTTATTGCCTCTGTCTAAACAGCAGATTAATGTTTATATCTGTGAGCCACATTATTTGTCTGATAGCCTTCAGCTGTCTCTTTGTAAATCTGGGCCGACACCACTTGATGATAAACAGCTTAAGTAAATATAATCCAAGATATTGTGTTTTCTTTTTCTTCTCTCCAGCTAATGACACCGAAAGAGATGCTGACATCCCTTCCACTGTCCTCACACATGTGGAACAAGTGGCACCAATAACACCTATCACCCCAGCTGTGCCAGGGCCAGCTGTGCCCAGGCAAGGTGTGCCCACTCCTATGCAACCAGGAGCAAACCAGCTCAATGACAGGAACCACAACGGAGCAGGAGCTCGACCAGAGACCAATGGGACGCTACCGGGCATACCAGGTAACAATGGGAGGCCATATGGCATGTCTGGATTGAGTCAACCATCAGGAAGCACCACACCATACCACATATCTCCCTATGCATACACTGGGCCTCTGAGGTTCCTGTGCGCCACTGATGCCCGTGCAGATGTGTTTGTGGACAGCTTTATGTTCTGGATGGATACGGTGGAGATGGTGAGAGTGGCAGGACATCCTCTGGTCTACTACTCAGGCTGGGTGTTTCCCATCTATATCTTCAGCTACCTATCATGCTTGCGTGTGGTGGTCATGCCCCACAGCCCCCTGCTTTCCTCCCTAGGAGTAGCCCTGCAGGATTTACCCTTCTTCTTTGTGCGCGTTGGCCTCATTGCCTTCTTCGGCTTTGTTACGCCCATCCTCTATCTGATGAAGAACTTGTTGGTCTCGCTGGCCTTCATCTACTTCAACTTTATGACCAAGTTGAAGGTCTTCAACACAGAGAGGATGTTTTTTTGAGACCAGCATTCAAGGGCAAACAAGCTTTTCCTTATTTTCTGTCATATTTACACTAAATACTGTCACGACAGTGGGTGCTCATTTTAAACAGCCAAATTTGTAGATGATGGCTTCAGACCGCTCTAAACACTCTGTTTCAGACAGCTTTATG